GGAAAGAGTAGGTAAGTAGAGAATGTGTTATTCTTGCTGTTGAGTATGGAACTTTTGGTGCTATTGAGTCTATGTTTGAGATCAAGCGTGTGGATGAACTCTTGTCATACTCTGGAGGCAAGAAATTAGAACCAACATCTCCTATCCAATTTTCTCCATTGAATGGTGATGTTTCATAAGAACCACAGTTTAGAAGAAGTTTATCTGGGACATTAATTGGATCACAAATGGTTAAATGCGAGAATAGCAATAATAAGAAAAAGAGGTGTAGTACAAAAGTCGTTGCATACCTACATGACTCCACTATGTAGGAATCCTTCATGGTGAACAGAGGATTATAGGGTGAAGGCTTAGTTTAACCTTAGAATCATATGTTATCTTTATATAGCAAAGTTGTTCGCATTTTGTTGTGTGTACTCTACCTTTTATATTTTAATTAATTATCCATTATAATAATTACTTGTCAAATGTATGGTCTGTATGCCATTAATACTTTACATATATATTTGATGGAGACTGATTAAGTAATCTAGCTGGCTCTTATCGAAGCTCCTTCTTGGTATCATTGACGGATAGTTTCCAATTTTATTGTTTCGCAAGGTCCACGCCGAGACTGTCGGCATTGGCATGGAGCAGTTTTTTTCAAAGTTCTTTAAGTGATGAATTAATGTAAAGTATATGTATCTATAATAGTGCTAATTAATTCCTTTAATTAGTCATTATCAAATATATAGTTTCACATATGTACAACTTTGATCCCGCTTATTCCTATATGTTGGAGATGCTACAAACCCTCAATGGAGCATGACCTTAATAGAAAAATAAAAGACAAAACATTAAAAAGAGATCAAATTCAAAGTGTGGATATATATAAGAGGTTTTGGTGAAGACAAGTCTAAATAAAGTTAGATGAAGATAAATCTTGATAAGTTTTGATGAAGACAATGGAGACCGAGCTTTCAAGAAGACTCAAGAACTTCAAAAGAATATTGAAGTGTAATTTGGAGTCCTTTACTTTGTAAAGACTAAAAAGTTCATTTGTGGATGAATCATTGGGATAATAAGACTTAAAATTGCTTAAGTTAATTAATGGGCTTAAAAAAAAGATATAACTAATCAAGCAAACAAGCTAGAATTAACCCAATATTTTTGGCCAAGTGTTTTGTTATTGAAAATATAGCTAAAGGGTTCGATTCCCACGAGTTAACCAAATAGGAACATATTTGTCATGTAAAATTTCCATGTAATTAACACAAAAACTAAAATAAGAAAAAAAATAATTGAAAGCTTACCATAACTCTGATATGGAGGCCCACACTACACCAAGCCCTAAAACTCACCATAGACAAAATGGCCCAAAGAAGTAAACAGAGAAATGGTGTTCTATTGATGTTATGTTTGGGATCAATGTGTTTTGTCGATGTTATAGAAGGTCCAAGCAAAAGCGAATTCTAGTTTGTGAGTTTCCATTTTCCACATGCATGCAGTTGTATGATAAATTGTCTGAATAATGAGACCCTTGGTATTTTTCTCTTTTTCGTGTATATTTGGATTATTTTCTTACGACAGGTGCCTATATATCTGTTAGGATGCAAGTAAAATCCTACCTCATTCAAATAAAAGGATGGACATATGTTTATATATACACAATTATCTCTATTGGTTGAGAGACCTTTTAGGTGGTATCCAAAAGGAAAATCGCGAGGACGGATAATATCTTACCAATGTGGAGACATGTGTATGTGCGTGGTAAAGACATGTATATGTGCGTTGTAACTCCCAACCAACAATATCTCTAACTTATTCCATCTAAACAAATTCTTAAGCTAATTTCAGATACCAAAATTAACAAAATAATTTAATGCCGGCCAATAATATCTCTAACTTATTCCATCTAAACAAATTCTTAAGCTAATTTCAGAGACCAAAATCAACAAAATAATTTAATGAGGATCAAGTTTACCAAACCAAAAACGCACACTTTCGAATTCAAAGCCTCACAGTGACTCATATGCAGGGTGATACTCCAGGAACGAACCAAAAAAAATATGCAGGGTGGACGAAAAAGAGCAAAATGAAAAGAATTATAAAAGAAGCTCAAAACCAATGGCTATATAACCATATGAAATTAAGACACCGGATTGTGGCATAGAACAAAAGTGTCAAAGGAAAGAGAGGCATTTCAATTTCCGATTGAATAATGTCAGATCCTAAGAGACTGAGCAAGTGTTGGAAATATGTTTAGTGGTTCAAAAAGTTAGGGGTGTGTTGAAATTTTTTCAACTCTTTTAATTTATTTTGCTGAAAGTGTTAAATTTTAGAAATTATAAACACAAAAAGAGATACAAATTGGTCTATTTCTTTACCTATTAATAGTCATGTTTCTAAATTATGGTTACGGTGAATTAAAAAAAAAAACATTTATGTTGCGGTTACTAACCCCAACTTAAAAACCATGCTGTTAGTAAATTTTTAATCTTAACCAACCAAAATTGGACTGGAGCATAAGACCAAAATTTTCCCATCTTTAAAATGAACAAAAAGAAAATAATAAAGTGGGGCAATTTGGTTCATAGACCAAGTCGACTAATGGCTGTCAAATTGAGAGATCAATTAATGATGATTATTAACTTCAACGACTACATCGTCTTGGTTTGTACTTATCCAATTGACTAGCTGTTTCAATTTCAGGACTAAATTATTTAACTATTATCAAATTTAGGATTAACTTGGCTCTTTTGTAATGTTATGAAGTAAATTGATCTATGCTTGTAATTAAAAAAAATTAATTTAATGTATTACTCCAGCCATAAGTGTTTATCTCTTTGTCGTGAAGCCCTTTTCCATCCCAAGTACCTCTCATCCATCACATGCTCTGATTCTGCCTCTAGCATTCTTGAGGACCCTAAAGTTCCCAAGGGCCACCATGTAGCCATTATGAACAATGCCCCACATAATGACACTTTGCTACTTTCCTTTCATAATTCCAATCCTTTTTTTTTTTTTTTTTTTTTTTTCATTCTCTGCACACTTTTATTATGTACAAACATTGTGAATTACAGACACAATAAACATGATTTATAATGAGTTGTATAATCTTGAAGCCATAGGTTTGACTGCAGATTAAGCTAAGAGCCAGAAATCTTTGTGACGCTTAGTAGTAATCATGTAGCCTCCACTCTTCTTGCTTTTTCTTCTCACTGCAATTGCCATGCAATGTGCATTCTGAATGCAGTACTCTACCACCCCACCAGTGACTCTGTGCCCTGCCCACATCATCAGAAGACGCCATGTTGTGGACCTCTTCTTCTGCCCCAAAACAAGAAGTGCCACCCCTTGCTTTTTGGCCTCCTCCACTATCTTTGGCCCCTTATCCTTTCCCTCTGTTACTGCAATCTCAATTTGTACCTATCAGAATCATATAATTAACTTCAACCTTTAATTATCACATTTACATCAAGTGAAATACTGTCACTCATGAGAAATTATTAGGTGTTTCTAGACTATAATTTCCAATAAATTTTTACATAGAATGTAATTAAATGTTATTAAAATTTTTTTCATAAATTAAAAAACTTAAATATATGTTGTGCAGAGATTGATTGAGATTTGAGACCATAAACATAATAGTTCTGGATTATCTTATAATTCCTTGTCAATTGTCATTGATATGGATTCAATTAGTACTTAGTAGTATATATGCATGCCTACTTATTAGCATTAATGATTTTCTAACATCATAATTCAAAGGATGTAGTCTTGATTGATGGTCCAAAGAAGGAATTCAACAGATTTTACATGGCTTCCCCTACTTTTGATTAATTGTAAGTAACATTTTGAGCCATGTTAGTAACAAGGAGTTAATAAGACTAAGAATGTTGAATATTATAAAGTCTAAAGGGGACTAATTAAACTCACCTCAGGCCTCTTCACATGACACATGTTCTTGAAGGAGGAAGCAAGTTCATAAGCCCTTGGAGCTATCTCCTTGCTGGACTCATCATCAGTGGCTGCCACATTGTGTTATCCATACTCAATCACACTTTCATTTATAACAAATAAGTCAAAGTTGAATGAAAAAACAAAAACAATGGTATGGTCAGTTTTTGCACCTTGCTTATTAGAAGGCTTCATGACATGAAGAAGAACTATAGTGTCTTGGTTCTGAACTGTGTGAGTGAGTGCCCATTGCACAGCACCTTTGGCCTCAAGGCTAGAATCAACCACAATCATGATCTTCCTACCAATCACAGACCCGGGTTTTGCCACATCATCAGATTTCTCCTCACATGCATTGCAAGAATTCTCAGTTTTCTGATCAAGTTTAGTGGCACTTGTTGTGTTGTCATGCTTGGCTTGTGCGGGTGGTGAACGCACCCTAGCATGAGGCCTAATTCTGTTGAGGCAAAAGCCTGGTAACCTTGTTCCTCTCTTTCCCATGTTTTGCAATGTAGTTGGAGAAAACACCAATTATATTATAAGGAGGAAATAGAACAACAGAGAAAGAGCAACAATAATACCTGCTGGGGCTGAGAAATTTTTGTAAAATGTTGGCCTGGGACATAGCTCATTTTCTGCTTTGCTTTCTCTTTTACTTTTCTAATTATCATTTTCTTAGTTCTTGGTTTCTTTTGTTTTTCTTTTCCCCTTTGTGGGGGGGCCTTGAATTGCTTGCTCCACATGAACGTGCTTGTCATCAAGATGTAGGCCCCTTCTCCCTCTCAAACATGGCTTAAAAATCAATATCATTATTAGAGCACTTTGTTTCTCCTTCTAACAACTCATTGGGGGCTTGTTCTCTGATTGATTGCAATTTGCAAAGCCCCATTTTCATATCATTACAGAATGTTTCTCTTTCCCTATTGCTTT